TCAAAGCATTCGCATTCTTTCGAGGTGGGACCTGTGGCATGTGCGCGGCTAGGAACTACGTACCGGCACAGGCAGTACGCTTTCAACAGGATGCTGCAGGCATCCTTCAACCCCCTTAAAGAATCCCAAGCCCGATGCACGAGAAGGAAAGAGCATATTTTAGGGGCCTTAATAATCGTAATAGGGTTTTGGGGCCCATTATACTGTAATTATAATAAGGAACCCCCCAAGTAATATAGGTAATTATGTAGGCCCCTATATTACCCCTCCTCCCATCTGGACTACCGACAGTGTGGTTCATGCATCACTGGAGTTCGGCCCTGCAGCTTTTCGCCTGTCATTGACACTCGGCTCGAGGGTAGGGTGACTGCGGTGGGGAGTGGTAAAGTACTATACTATGCTTTACTATACTATACTTTGCTTTACTAACTATACTAAACTATACTATATACTATACTATCACTGGTTGAGTCGGGACCAGTGCTCTGCCAAGAGGCATCGACTGCCGGTGCACTTCGATGTCCTGTCTGCGACTCTGGCTCGCTACGCTTCTGCCGAACTCCCTTCTCTTGTCAAAAAAATATTCATACAATATGACCATAAACTAATCTTAACATATACTAGCGTTATTCCTATAATATTACCATAAGTTAATATACAACCTCTATTACGTAGCGTGAATATGTATATTGATATTTAAAACAATACTGAGGTATTTATTTAACTATTGATACTATTAAGACTGATGGGGCTGAGGCTGAGGTGGGTGCCAACCTCTGTGCGCAGCGATAATCCCATAAGATAGTACCCTAAATAGGAGGATCCTTATTAAAAGGACCCCAGAATAAGGTACCCCCTATAAATAGTAGGATCCTTATTAAAAGGACCCCAGAATAAGGCACCCCCTATTTTCGGAAACCCCCATGTGAACCCTCAAGGCCCTCAAGGCTGCCAAGGGCTGTTTCAGGCGCAAGGGAGACTGGGAGGGGGCAGGCAAAACTCACAGCAAAACCAAACATGCAAAGCAACTGTAGGGGCCGTTGATGCTATAGCTATCTGCTGGTTCAACCGCTGCTTCGAAAGAAACCTCTGAGGACGTTAACAGTTTCTAGGCTGCCAAGAAGCTCCGGGCTCCCAGGAGTTCAGCTTTCGAACCACGCCGGCAGCCTTGCAATGACAGGCTGTTCTTCTTCTGCCGTTCTTGGAGTCATGTCTGCTATGACTTTATCACCTTCTACCAGACTAGAACATGCAGGGATCCAGGGGGAGGAGGGGTTTGGTTGGGTGTGTTGTGATGAAGGGCCGGGAGCGTGGCCCAGAACCGTGGCATTTGCGGGTTTTGTGATCAAAAGTTCCTGTGGAAGTCGGGTGACTCTGTCTCTTTGATTTAAGATTAGCCTTTCACAGGCCAGCCCGGTGCACTCAAGCGATCGGCCCCAACCCGAAAGCCCTGCGGAACAGATCCTAAACCCTGAACCTCTAAACCTCCATGGCAAACACAAAACCACCAAACCCGGGGCCCGGGACCTCTTCAGCTTGCCATCGGACGATGGCTGTGCGAAGATCCTTCTCTGCGTCGGAGTTCCGGGGGCTTCCACTCACTCTTTTTCAACCAGTTTCTACTATTACTATTACTATTACTACAATTGCTATGATTAGTCTAGTATTATCACTATTACTACTCTATAATTACACAAGATTCTGAGCCTCAAGGACTTCTCATCTGATCTCTAGGACCCCTGTCTCAAAGGCCAGGACCTCTGCTTTCCAGGCTCCTTAAGTTGCCCGGTGCCTTTGAAGCATTGTATTGCGCATGCAAAGAACAGGCGTGGGCTTAGGGTTGAGTTGAGGGTCTATAGAGTCCAGGGCATGGCTTTTGGAGTCTGATGAAAGTGCTGTCATCTCACCAGCACCCATGGTATCCAAAATGGCTCACAATGGCTTACAACATCCATCATGGTGCTACACGGCTTCCGAGGGAGATTTCCTGCGACTGTCCGACGGTGCAGCGGGCAGCCAGTCCAGACGATGCTTTTGGGAGCTTCGTATCAGATGCCCAGACCGGACTCTGCTACATTATACAGATTGCAGCTGAACACCGAAGCACCACTCCTGTTTGCCCACCTCTCCTATGGACTCGGGGATTTGCTGACAAGAGCTTCAAAGCGGTACTCTGCCATCCGTGACTTGAAAGGTGGGCGCCTCCAGCAGGGAAGCTGCCATCTCACGGATGAGACGACCTCTGAAATTCATCGATGCACGTTTCGGCTTCAGGCTCCGAAGGGCTTCGGAGTTGCCAGCAGCTGGCTGACTGTGCCGAGCTATGCCCTGCTCCCAGAACCTATGCTAGAAACAACTCTTGGACCGGGCCGGTGCTTCGAAAAGAAATCCTGAACATGTCAGGCATCCCAGCACAAGATCATCATGCTTTCCTGGCCAGGCACCAGCGAAGGCCCGGAAGATGGAGGGAATGCGGATGAACGGGATGGCCTGCCCATCATCTTTCTTCCCCTGACCCTGCTGTTGTGAAGAAGAGCAATAGCCATGGAGACAAACACTCCCAACACCAATCCAGCATGGCTAGCCGCTTAAACAAGGAGACCCCGATATTTGGCAAGAGGGCGGGAAGGGTAATCATATTGGAAGCTGGCAATGTCGGAGCGGAATGCCTCAGCTTGACGTTGAAACTGTGGGATGCTTGGAAGTCAACAGCTCAACGGGAACAACCTGTTTGGCCTTCGTTTCCTACCCTGAAGCCTCCTGAAGCCTACACCCTTGTGCTCTGACTGAACAGCCTGGAGTCCAAAATCGGGCGCAGTGGACGGCTTGCGCAAAGAAACAACCAAAGATCCGCTCGGACCTCTGAGCGCGAATCGTAGAGTTTATTTTCGGAGCTTCGAATGAAAGTCTTAGTTGATCCGTCGTTCTGAAAGCATAACCACAGCTGAGAGATGAGAGACTGCTTTCTGTCCCTTTTGCTGGAAGCAGAAGGTTGCCTCGTTATAGAAGAGGACGATAGCCTCGTCCTTTGCAGAATGGAACTGCGAATCAACTTCGCCCCGGGGTCAGCGCATGTTCGGCAATTGCATGGCCAATGCTTCTGCCACAGGCAGATTTCAGTGGTCCTGGCTGACGGGGACCACACGCCAAAAGCCTGCGAGGCCACTCAGACCGAAGGCGGGAGGTGCAAGGGTGGCCACGGCATGGGCTCATGGGTTCGGATAGGCAGAGTGCTGACATACGTACATACCGACATACCTACATGTCAGTACATACATACATACATACATACATAAATACATACATACATACATACATAAATACGTACGTACGTACGTACGTACGTACGTACATACATACATACAGACACACATACATACATTACAT